AGTAGCTGGGACCACAGATGCCCGCCATAATGCCAGGCTATTTTTTTGGTTGTAGGTGTCATTGTTGTTTACCAGGCCCAGGCTGGGCTCGAACCCACCAGCCTCTGCATATGTGGCCGGCACCCTACCCACTGAACTACAGGAGCCACCAGGACTCCATTTTCCACGGACTCTTGGGTAAACTGAATGGTGTTTTTAATTTCAAATTCCAGTTGTTTATTGTTCATATGAGATTAACTTTTACATATTGGCCTTGTGTCCTGCAACCTTGCTATAATCACATACTAGTTTCAGATTTTTGTTGATTCTATAAGACTTTCTATGCAGATGATCACGTCACCTGCTCCATGGACTCTCAACCCAAGCTGTTTTTCCTGTAAGTTCAGTTTTAGTTTTTCACTTTTGCTTTGCCACCAAATATACTAGTTATAATTATAGTTGCCAGATATAATTTTGCATAGAGAGAAAATACATTCTCCCCAGTGCTTTTTGAAATTTCCCTCATAGAGCAAAAAGGGAAAAGGAAACATGGTAAAGCTTAAGTGAAGGACAAATACAAGCCGGAGTAAACCCTGTGACTGCAAACCTTGGCCCTCTGGTAATAACTAATTAATGTGAAGGGTATAGGATTATCTAAGCAATTTACTGAAAATGGAGACCAGAGAACAAAATTTTATCCAGGAGAAAATTTAACAAAATTACCATGTGCCATTTGAGATGCAACCTGAGAGTTACCACTGCTGTCTTCAAAATGTGGTGGTGGTACAGTCAACATGCCATGAGTGGAAAATCTGTCCTGAGAAGTCTCTGTGTCAGAATCAGTTGGTCCATCTACATCGTCACTACTTTGACTAGTATCTTCATCAACATTGCTGTCGCTATCATTGTTGTCATTGACAGTGACAATAATGTAATCTAAAAATAAACAAAGAGAAAGTTTAGATTGGATAGCACAATTAATAAAGTTTCTAGAAGAAACTATGGTATAAAGCTACGGATTGTTTAAAAACATTTTAGCTGAAAAAAACTGTATTAAGTATTTTGATATCTGCAATCATTACAAGTTAGCTAACAGGTCAATTGCTTGGTAGGAAGCTTTGAAATATATATGTATGTATACACACATAGAGAGCATTCCTTCTAGTACTTCCAATTTTCTAAGAGCAATAAATTTCTTCTCATTTAAGGAACATGACTACCTAGTCCATGCTATAGTATGTTCGATGATATGCTTTTAACTTAAATGATGCAACTGGTGTTATATAACCATACTTGCACTGACAAGGAATTTCCAAACTTGTTCTTTTAAAATTAATATTCATATTTACGAGCAGAAGTATAAAAGTAAATGTTGCTGTGAGACAAATTAAATGCAAATTGAATCTCATAAAATGTGAAATAGGTAACCACAAATAAACTAAATGTGAAATATCGGCTCCATAAACCATTTTAATGAATATCAAAAATAACCCATCATTTTATTTCTGATATCAAATAAGCGTTTTTATTTCTTAAAGTTGGCCTGAAAAAGAACATGTTTAGGCTTGAGGTATTTACTCACAGATCACATTTTCCTTGCATCATAACTTGGATTCACTATATTTATTTCAAAGAGACCAAAGCAGAAGAATAATTAGCTAGTATAAGGGGCACATGGTAAAATTAGGAATCACATGACAAAGGTTCCAATTCAGGCTCCATTGTTATCCAGAGGTATGACTTTTGGGCCAAATATCTTGACTCTTTCACCTGTGTTTTTTCATCCTTAAAACGGAGGGCTGGATTTGAAGAGTCCCTTTACTTAATAGTCTTGGGGAGGAATAGAACATTAGAAACTAATTATCTAAACCAGGGGTCCTCAAACTTTTTAAACAGGGGGCCAGTTCACCGTCCCTCAGACCGTTGGAGGGTCAGACTGCGGGCCCCAGGATGAGTCAGCTGCTAAGCAGGACAGGCAGTGGCAGCAAAAACACCCAGCGGGCTGCATGTGGCCCACGGGCTGTAGTTTGAGGACGCCTGATCTAAACAAAAGGGATAAATAAACAAAAGGTTAAATAAATTATTTCCTTAAGTAGAATGGTATATAGCCAAGGAGAAGAAGCATGTTCACAGTGAAAATTGACTGATATTAGCAATACTTGGGAAATAATGATAAGGGGTGGAAGGATTCAAAACAGAAAAAATACAGTATAATCCTAACTTTGAGAGCTAAAAGTAACTAATGGTTATCTAGGTGGCTATCTCTGAGTAGCAAAATTATCCTCATTAGACTTCTCTGTTGATTCTCTACAATAAACTTTAGACCTTCTCATAAGAAAAAAAAGGTAATTGAAAATTTATTAAGACAGGCTTTTGTATATCAACAAACTAAAGCTAGTAAAGCTACTGACAACCCCACTGAAGTTTCTCAGTAAATGTGTACAATTTTGATTCTTTTAGGTGTACACATAATCTTTGGAATCAAATTTTAAAGACATTAACATTTTGAAGTTCTTTTGAAGATAAAGCTCCCAAGGTGCAAGGCATTCACTTACAATCAATGTATCAAATAATGGCGGGCGCGGTGGCTCACGCCTGTAATTCCAGAGCTCTGGGAGGCCAAGATGGGCGGATCGCTGGAGCTCATAAGTTGAAGACCAGCCTGAGCAACAGCGATCCGCGTCTGGCGTCTCTAACAATAGCCAGGCATTGTGGCACGCGCCTGGAATCCCAGCTACTCGGGAGGCAAGAGGATCACTTGAGCCCAAGAGTTTGAGATTGCAGTGAGCTATGACACCATGGCACTCTACCAAGTGCAGCAAAGTAAGACTCTGTTTCAAAAAAAAATAAAATATCAAATGATGATGGCTGAAAACAGCAGCATTGCACCCCAGGACCTTGAAAAATTACACAGCAAAACAGGGCAGGGGTAGCACCTGTGGCTCAGAGGAGTAGGGTGCCAGCCACATATGCCAGAGGTGGTGGGTTCAAACCCAGCCCTGGCCAAAAACTGCAAAAAAAAAAAAAAAAAAAACACCCAGGGCAGATTAGATTACAACAACCTGGCCGCTCTAGTTTTGTTTAAAGAAACCAAACACTTTCTGAATCTTCCAGCAGGAGTCTCTAAGGCAGCCCCTCCATTCTTTGTATAAAATTTGATACAAACCCCAAAGTCTCTAAGATGGCGGATAAGGTGGCCAAAATTGTATAACATCGCCCAGCACCTGCTGGAGGCCGAGAAGGGAGGCTCAAAACTGCAGCTAGCCCATATTCTGCTGGAAGAAATACTGTGCAGTAGACTTGCTAGAAAAATCACTCTCTGTAAACTTTAAACCAGTTTACCATCTGATGTTATAAAACCCCAGAGCAAGCTAGGCGCGGTGGCTCACGCCTGTGGGCACTCTGGGAGACCGAGGCAGGTGGATCGCCTGAGCTCACAGGTTCGCGAGACCAGCCTGAGCAAGAGTGAAACCTGGTCTCTAAAAAAAGCCCGGCGTGGTGGAGGGCACCTGTAGTCCCAGCTACTTGGGAGACTGAGGCAAGGGGATTGCTTGGGCCCAAGAGTTTGAGCTTGCTGCGAGCTATGAGGCCACGGCACTCTGCGAAGGGCGACAAAGTGAGAGTCAAAAAAAAAAAAAAAAAAAAAAACCTAGAGCAGTTCGAAATGGCGAGAGGAGGGTAGAGGGACCGAAGCGATCCCACACCGATTAAAGCAGAGCCTTCTCGGTCAAAGGACCAGACAGGCTGGCTGGGCTCTCGAACGCTCACGGATGGACCTTCCCTGCTTTACGGGAATCCTCACATTTTACAGTATTTCCTGAATCCGGCATCGTCGCTCTGCTCTTTAAAATAAGCAGGCTCCATGCCCAGGACTTCACCACAACATCCCTACATCTTCCCTTTCTTCCCCTTCCTCTATGTATTTCCAATAAAACAGCGAGGCTACACTATTTGTCTTTGATCAAACCTGGTTACCATTAAAGCCTCAAAATCTGTATCTCCGTCTCATAGATTTTACTAGAATCAACTCGCGAAGCTTTTGTTTGAGACAGAGTCGCGCTTTGTCGCCCCCTATAGAGGGCCGGGCGTCATACCCCACAGCGTTGGGCTCGAGGGTTACCTCAGCCTCCCGAGTAGCTGGGACTATGGGCGCCCGCCACAATGCCCGGCTTTTGTTAGAGTCGGAGCTTTTCTATTTTTTTAAACTCTTTTAAACTCAAAACTCGGCAAAAATCTGAGTCTGTCTTGCCTTACCCTCCCATCCACCCACACCAAGAGAAAGGCTGAAAAGGGATCAACTTATCCCAGACAGTCAAATTTCAAAAGCTCATACGCGCTGGTATCCCAAAAAAAGCGGCGACGACACGGCCAAGGTCAGACACGCGCTGCCCGGCAAAACAAATCCCCAAAGCCCGGAAGAGTCCCCTGCTTTAAGCCAAATCGCTTTGTTGCCTTAACAGAGCTGTGCTCGGCAGCTTTGCCCAGAGAAAAAAGAATAATAAGAATAAGTTCAAGTTGAAAGTGAAGCTGGCCAGATGCGCTTTGGTCCCACCACGCCGCTTTAGAAAAGGCGCGGGAAAATGGCTTGTTACCGCTCTGCCTAGCGGATCGGCGACTGCCGAGATTGTTCTACGGCCGCTCGAGGTTCTAGAAAGAACTGCAGGCCTTCGTGCCAGAAACCATGCCCAGCCTATTCACGCACCCTTACCCCGAACCCAAGGGTCACCCCAAACTCCTGGGACGCCGCGAACCCCCGAGTGCTGCGAAACCCCGAGTCGCCGCGAAACCTTGAGTCGCTGCGAAACCTTGAGTCGCCATGAGCCTCAGGGACGCTTAGAGTCCTCGGGTTGCTTTAAATACCTGAGAAGCCTCCAACCCCAAGACGCTACAAGCTACAGCGACTCCATGAACCCCACGATCACTTCCAGCCCGACGGACATACCAAACCCCTTCAGACACCCTGGACCCGGGTTCGGCTGCCGCGGCGCCCGGGTTCCCACGCACTTACAGACCAATCCGCGGCCAGCGGCCGAAGGCCAGGGACCGGCGGCCGCCACTGAACACGCCCCGGCGGATGACCAGCCAATCGGGCCGTGGACCGCGTGGCCGTCTAAGTGGGCGCGGTCCGAATTCTGTCAAGAGTCCGAAGCAGAAGCTAGTGGGACAACTGCGGGAGGGCACCTTACCCGGTTCATCGGACATTGTGAGGCTGCTGTGCTCGGCTCTGGACTCCGGAGACTGGGCGTCTGCGCTGCGGCTGCACACGAGGCGTCTGCGTTGCTGCTGCACTCGAGCCGTCCGCTGTGCACTGAGGCGCCCCACCGCGGGAACTTGAAACTTACAGTCCAAAAGAGGTTCTGCGCCTGCGCAGCATCCCCAGCGCGCCTGCGCAATTCGGGGAGGGGAGGGTGTTTGGGGCCCAGCCAAGTTTGACGCCCCACCTCCCCCACCTTCCACCGTTTTTTTAAGTGTGCTTTTTAAGGGAAAAAAATGTATGCTGTATATGTATATATATGAACCAACTTAAAATGTCCGAGCTCAGCTGGTCCTCAACACCGTAAGAAGTCGGTGTTAGTGTCCCATTATAAAGATGAGAAAACTAAAGCATAGAGTTTAATTTGCTCGAAACCACGAGGCTCCTAGCAGAGTTGGGATTTGAACATTATTAGCCCCATAGCTCCTGTTCATGTTCCCTATCGGATTTTACCTCCAGGGTTTTGCATCTAAAAATTCTTCACATCCTTCAAAGCCTGTTCCAGTACTTTCTGTGTTCTAACGTTATGGTACCTCCACCAAGACACTTTCCCGTAGCTCCCGGCAAGAGTGAGTTACTCTTTTATGAGTCCACAACAGGTAACCTAGAGCAGTCTGAAATTGCTCACCTCCCTACTTAAATCATTTTACCTCATATTAGAAAATCTTGTCAATATGTCCAGTTCCTAAGTTTTTGGAGAGCAGCACCATGTCCTATTTTATATTTGAACACCTTCTCCCCTACAAGATTCTAAGAATTAAATGTTTTCAAGTATAAAGCACCCAGAGAGGAGAATGAGAGAAGAGTGGATGGAGTGCTTGAGTAGCACCCTGGCCTCCTCTCCTCTCTTCCCCTCCTTCTCCCAGCCTGTCTGCCTGCCCATCTGCCTGCTGGTGTCCACCATGGCCACCTCAGCAAGTTCCCACCTAAACCAAGGCAAAAAGCAGGTGTCTATGTCCCTGCCTCAGGGTGAGACAGCCCAAGCCGTGTATATGTGGAACAATGGTACTGGAGAAGGGCTGTGCTGCGAGACCCACAGCCTAGACTACAGGCCCAAGTGTGCAGGCGAGTTGCCTGAGTGGAATTTTGATGGCTTTCATACTTTACAGTCTGAAGGCTCCAACAGTGACATAATATCTTGTGCCTACTGCCATGTTTCTGGACCCCTTCTGCAAAGCCCCCAATAAGCTGGTGTTCTGTGAAGTTTTCAAACTTTCAAACAGTGGAAAGCCTACACAGACCTATTTGAGGCACACCTGTATAAATGGATAATGGACATGATGAGCAGCCAGCACCTGTGGTTCAGAATGGATCATCCACAAGTGTCTTCTCAATAAAACCGGCAATGAGCCTTTCCAGTACAAAAACTAAGTAGACTAGACTTACAGGAGTCCCTCCTGGTTCTCCATTCCACTCCAAACCCTCCCCCTCTCCCAGTCGTCCCAATTATAAATCAAAAGGTGGAATATCAAGGTCTTTTTTTATTGCTGGCACCCAGTTAATCTTGCTTTCTTTGGCCAGGACAGAGGGGTCAACTGCTTAATCTCTTTGTACCCACCCTCCTTTTCTCCCTATCCCTGAAGCTTTCTGGTGTGCAGGTGGGTGGGGAGGGACGTAACCACTACTCCCATCTAATGGGGTGTGCTTGTGCAATAGGCATAGCTATCCAGGTGGAGCACCTCTGCTAGACGGGGAGGACATTTTCTTAGGGTAGCTGAAAGTGGAAGTCCTGAGCTTACTCTAGGTTAGGACTTCCCTCCTTGGTGGAAGAGTTTTAGAGGTTATAACCAATTTTCTACTATAAGTGGGAATTAGAGAGAAAGTAGAGGTTGAAGATCGGGGAGGGAAATGCCCTTGGTCTCAGGCCACATTTCCCTTACTTGTGGCTAAATGCTCTTTCCTCAACAAAGAGCACAAAGTAAACTGACGGGTGTCCCTACCTTAAAAAAAGAAAAGGTTCTTATTGCTTGGTCCTCCTTTATAACACAAAGCAGAGTAGTAGTTTTATATTTAAATGTAAAAATGTAAAAAAATTATATGTGAGGGGGTGCCCATGGGTCAAAGAAGTAGAGCGCTGGCCCCGTATGCAGGCAATGGGGGGTTCAAACCTGGCACTGGCCAAAAAAAAAAAAAAGTTATATGTGTGTGGGTATCCCTACCTTAAAAAAAGAAAAGGTTCTTATTGCTCAGTCCTCCTTTATAACACAAAGCAGAGTAGTAGTTTTATATTTAAATGTAAGAAAAATTATATGTGAGGCAGCGCCTGTGGGTCAAAGGAGTAGAGCACTGGCCCCATATGCCAGTGGTGGGGGTTCAAACCCAGCCCTGGACAAAAAAAATAATAATAAAAATTGCAAAAAAGAAAATAATACGTGTGTGGGTATCCCTACCTTAAAAAAAAGAAAAGGTTCTTATTTTTCGGTCTTCCTTTATAACACAGAGCAGAGTAGTATTTTTAGATTTAAATGTAAAAAAAATTATATGTGAGGCAGCGCCCACGGGTCAAAGGAGTAGAGCGCTGGCCCCATATACTGGCGGAGGGGGATTCAAACCCAGCCCTGGTGAAAAGAAAAAAAAAATCATATGTGTGTGGGTATCCCTACCTTACAAAAAGAAAAGGTTCTTATTGCTCATCCTCCTTTATAACACAAAGCAGAGTAGTATTTTTATATTTAAATGTAAAAATGTAAAAAAAATTATATGTGTG